CATCTGCCCCCTCGAGGCCTGCACCGGCTTCTTTGTCTGAGCATCGGGCGTCGGTACAATGTCGAATCACACAATGTGGCTATGCAATCAGGGCATCTCGGATTAGGAACTGACACAGGATTTCATGTCTGTATTTTTCTTTTTCAGTAACTTGTTTTTAACTTTACTTTTCCCAATACACAGCTTTGTTTTTGTATTAATTGCATATTAATGCTTATTTTCAGTCATTTCAATGCAGATGAGACATTTGTCAGCCCATTCTGTAGTCACATTTTGTATTTTTCATTCATATCCGCAGATGATTTTGTGTGATATAAATGTGATGCAGTATGAGGATATTCTCAGAACAGGAGAGGTTAGGGAGAAGCACACTTGATGTATCCGTACACAATGTGTTATGAGTCGCTCAAAACGAGCTCTGCCATTTTACACCGACGTTCAACAGTCATGCAGAGAAGAATCCATCACAGAAGAGGAAGCAATGCTCGTTTTTTTGCAGACACATCAATAAACCAGAATGCTTTGCAGCCACAGTGTGCATCTTTGCTAATCTATGATTGCTAGCGTGAGAAATCAATCAATCACTTTTAACAGCTTTTTTTTCTAATTTGAACAGTGAGGCACTAAGGCATTGTTGTTTGCCCATTCTGACAATGCTATCACTAATGTTCTTGATGCGTGAAGGCTGTTGAAAAGCATATTAAGACATGGAGGGCACCCATAAAAGAAAAAAATATAGATGTGTAACAGTATAGAAGATTTTATCTTTGAATCAACGCGTAATACTTTCTTTATATCAGTTTATATATATATATATATATATATATATATATATATATAGTAGCCTATTCCTGTTGCTCGCGTAGTCTGGAATTCAGTTTAATGGTCTCAAAGGTGTTTCTATGGTTTCACACAGTGCATCTCTGTAAGAAATTTGGAAGAAAGATTCATTCATCTCCGCACAATGGCTAACAAAGAGGGCACTGAGCCCTGGCCAAATATCACGAGTGACATTGAAAACAAACAAAATTGTCTCGCGGCATACTGAGGAGGCAAAACCTCCCAATGACTGATAACAGTTCTGGAGAATTTAAGCGCAGTGGGAGAAAAGGTTTCTGTGGCTTTGCATTCAAGTCACATGGCCATTTGGAGCACCAGGAAATGGCACACATTCCTCCTTCTCAGTAACAAAATAAACCCAAATCTAGCTTCCTTCTATTTCTGCACAGTGACATCCACAATTTCAATGTTAATTTCTCCGCTTGAGATTGTAAAATTGATTTAGTGTCTTGATTTCACTGCACTTTGAGGACAGTGAAATTGGGTGTCATTATTATTCAAATTGGGTGTCAAACCCAATGCAATGAAAATTGATGGTGTCCGTAAAAGCATGCCCGTATTCCTCCATAATAACTATTTATAGAACATAACGTGCACTTAAGTGTTTTGAAACCATGTGTTTCTATAGTCAAATCTATAGTTTTTGTGAATTGTTTGAGTAATGGAAGCACAACACAAACATCCATACAGGTTCAAAGCCTCTCCAGCTCAACCATATTTCCATAAAGGTTAGCAAAAATGTAAAAGTATCTAAGTTTGGGTGTCCTGAATCATATTGTGACTCATATGAACTCTGTGCCTCTTCAGTCTCAGCTATTCTCAAGCCGAACTTACTGCTTACTCTGACTCACAAACGTACAACGCAATGACTAATCATGTCTCAATATACAATTGGTTATAATGTACACTCTCCAAAGGTGTACCTTCCTACAGATGAGTAAATGCTCCAGCTTTTGATGACACCCAACAACCATTTTTGATCACTTCAGCCTTCACATGCTCTTATGAGTGACTGTTTCAGGTGTTTCTCTTACAGCTGTGAGAGTCTCACAGGTTTTTACTTGACAGATGATATTTCCAACAATGAAAAGATCTGCGGCGGCTGCCTGTGGACGTTGTTTTCACTTCATTTGACTGGGCCTGAAGGTATATTAAAACCAGTTTTGTAAACATTTTTGAATAAGCCCTTGAGACATTTTTTTATAGCCGGGGTTTTAAGTAGTGTGTGTCTGTTGAGGGTGAGGGAGTAAGTAATTACAGTTTGTGTGTGTGTGTGTGTGTGTGTGTGTGTCTTCCTGGGTTCAGGGTGAAAGTCTCATCTGACCCACAGAAAAATGTTCTTTCGTGCTTTTTTTAGCCTGGTATTACATTGTAGTAGACAGAGAATGTGGTATCAAAGCAGTTTAAATCTCAACGTGAGTTTGGCAGATATTCAACACTTCTAAAATTAGTTGCACCTCTTCCCACCACCCAGAGTTCTCAAAAAGTGAGAAAATAGCCAAATTAATTGAATTTTGCTTTCACAGAAACATCTTCTTCTGAGACGTGGAAGAGGTTGTAGGAGCTTAGGGTTAAAACACTGGAAAATATATCAGCATATGCAAATCAGCTATGAAATGGAGTCTTTTTCTGGTGGTACAAGAAAGCAAATCTAGTGCGGATGATCTCTGTGTGGGCAGAAAGCCTTGAAGGTTTGCGTCATGTCTGCCGCATTCTCCCCGAGGGCATTCAGCCTCCTTACATGCAGAAACGCACACACACACACACGCAAGCCATCGTTTTTCCTCGCAGCGCGGCAGGAGTCTGTCTTCATCCGTCCTATTGATTGATGAAGCAGGCGCGGCGGGGTGTCCAGGAGAGGCAGGAGTCTAGATCAAGGCTGTGTGCTGCATCACTGGCAGCCACAGCACGCACACACACATTAGCGCTCATGCTCACACACTTTTTTTTGTCACCGTTTCCATCATGTTCTCTCTGTGTCTGTCACATTAGACACAGGCAGCCATGACACAAGCGTACACATGCATACTGAGAGACATGACATTCACAGCAGTGCTGACACACACAAGTTGTCATAGCTTACAAAGACGACATATCACACTTACACACACACACACACACACGATGAATTAGCATGGCTTGGCTGTGCGTGCGCGTAAGCTGGTCAGATTTTTTCTATAAACATGTTTTTAGATTAGTTTGAGTTAATGATCTGATTGCCTTGGAGCTGCCACTATGTTTGTTTGTTTGTGTGTGTGTGTGTGTGTGTGTGTGTGTGTGTGTGCACGTGTTTTTGGCCAAGGGGAAAAGGCAATGCTCTACTGCGCTGTCAACCTCACTTCCAAATGAGACATGCTCGAGGCACCGTTAGACTGGTATTTATGCTATTAGGGAGCTGGGTTTTGCAGTGGTACCAGAACGAAACAGCTAAAATTATGTTTTGACTAACCTCAATGGGGAGGTTCAGTATTTTTCCTTGCATAAATGGGAAATTGCAACTTGTGTACTCAAAGCCTATTTTTACAAATCACCTTTGGAATATCACGCACAATGTTTCTGAGCCATGTAAATTTAAAAGCCAAGGAATAGAGCTTGTCCTTTCAGTGCAGAAATAAAAATACACAGTCAGTTTCTTTTTTTTTCTTCTCTTCATCTTTACTTTGGTGTTTAAAGTTAACTTCCCACTCCAAACCAGAAATAGTCCTCTGCAAACAACTTTCTTCAACTCTCAGTCAACCGCAGTCGGTGGGTTCAATGAGGGTGTAGTCCCTCCAACCCCACCACACTCCTCCCCTCAAACACACCCTGAGGAGACCCTCTCGTATAATGCTGAATGGACCAAAAAGTAATGGAATGAAAGAGAGAGGACAAAGAATAACTGAAAAATGACTGTAAGACCCCTCCTTTTTTATCCCCCTCCATCCATCCTCTGGCGTTCCTGCCGAGGCTTGCCTCCGTCCCCGACAACCAGCATCGTCCGGGGCAGGGCGAGGGGGCAAGAAGAGAGGAGGGGGAGGAGGGCAAACAAAGGAGCACTGTTGCTGGCTCGCTGGGGTTGTGCGGAGGGTCGACACCAGGCTAGGGGGGTGCGGGTGGAGTGGTACAGACGGAGCGAGACAGAAGGTTTATCATTAAGAATAGAGATTAAAATGAATGGGAGGGGAGCAGGGGTGTCTGTTCTGCTCACAGTAATAAAGAGGCCAGGCAGTGCCAGTCATTTTTTCACACGCATGCAGACACACTCTCACACACACACACACACACACACACACACACACACAATCTTAGTAATGCTGCAGTGTGAGTGAGTGTGAGAGACAGGAGGGACGGGGATGGTTCATTGTTTCTTCACCATTGTACAATATTTGCTTAACCCTCATGCTTTATCTGTGCAGCTGTATGCTACAAATGAGATGGGGCGAAAAGCATGTATGTGTGTGTGATGGCTGCTGTCACAGCTGTTAGCAATTTCATCAGTGCACTGTAAGACACCACCTTCACACACACACACAGACACCAATGTACGAAGCGGTCTGGCCAAGATAAAATCGTTCTCCGAGCGGGACAATTGCACGTCAACTTAGCTAAACAAAAATTGAATGTTGAAATGGACACAATGACAAGTAGGTATGCAAACTGTAAATGGCGATCATGCAGCCATGAAGGAGCATAATAATGGCTTTCAATGGCTCCTTTTTTGCCTCTGCTCGTCTGTGCTCCCTGACCCCAACTTGAACCTCATTCCTCCTTGCATTGAGCAATCTTTCTCCACTCTGCAAATACAACACTAGTTGTAGGCGCTGAACATTGCTCATGTTTTCAACTGTGTTTTTAAAATAGTCACCCAACGCGTGGGATGAAATACAGCATAGTAAAATACATCTTTACTTTAAATGTTTGTGCAAGCACAGGTTTTTTTTATATCATGAACTGCATCGATTTGTTACCTCTGCGCCCATCTTCTTCATACATTCTTTCTACATGCTGGGTCAACTGTTTTGAAAGATAACTGAATTTTAGAGGGAGTAACTGGAATCCGACAAGGCCCAACTCTATGAATGGAGTGTTCTATATGTGTTTATTTTTTCTGACGTGTGGTGCTAACAGTTTGGTAATGGTTTTGTTTCCCTTTTCTGTCTTTTTTTTCTGGTCTATAAAAGGAGCTGGCGTGTGAAGAAAAAAACTGAACGAGTGCTAACAGCCTTAGCCTTCGTCGCAGAGGGAAGAAAAGGGGAAGCTGAAGAGCAAATGAGGAAAAGACGAGCGATGAAAGAGAGGTAAGAGAGCTTGGTTTGCCCCGTGGGTTACACATTGTCTTGTGTGTCTGTCCTCTGTTGCCCTTCCACCTGACTGTCAGCTGTGTACCTGGTGTGGGTTTGTTGTTTGCATGCATGCGTGTGTGTTTTTGTTATGTGTTTGAGTGCATCTGTGTTTGTCTTTGTGTGTGTCTCTGGCATAAAGCCACAGCTGTCCTGTGGAGTCACCTGCTGCATCCATCTTCTACATAGTTTCTCTCTATCTTTTTTTCAGTTTTATACATAATTATGTCTCTTCGACACTGTTTCATGTTATCACGACTGTAGCCAACCAATAGATGAAACCTTTTCTTCAGTATCATACATCAGCTTGACGTCCACATCGAAGTGCTTTCTCTCTGAACAAAGCTACAGAAGACCAGTCTTTTTTTTTTTTTGCACACGAACATCTTTAGTTTCCTTAAACATTAAATAGGCAATTTGCATCACTTTGCATGAAGGACCCATTGACACTAAAACAATTCATATCTACCCAAAGCAATGGAAGTTGTTAGAAAATACAAAACCTTTGAATTTCATGTATTCTTTGGTCATGAATATTGATTATTGGTCCAAAAAGTGTTATAATATGTAAACATCTTCATCAGTATTGATCTTACATCTGTGCACAAACGCCACCTGTGTTATCTCAGACAATTAGTCCATCCCTATTTTGTATTGAAACAAAGAGAATCAATTTCATGTTGTGGGGATTTTCCAGCATCCATTACAATTTTTAAAAGTCCAACATTGTAGGGATATAGGTAGTAAAAAATATATGAAAGCATCACCTTTAAGTAAAGCATAGCCAAAAGGCAAAAACACAAGAGTAATACTGGGAAAAGAGCCTCCTTATTGTTTTACCTGTTTCACCGGTTCCCAAAGCGAGCAGTCTCTCAGAGACTAATCTTCTCACTCTGTGTGAGGCTGACAGCAGCAGAATATCATTTTCTACCATGCAGGCACAGCCCGGATGGCTGCCACCGTACACAGATAGGGGGATGGTTAAGAAGGAGAGGCAGTGTGAGGAAAGGAAAATGTTGTTTTTCTCAGTCCTTGTCATCCTCCCTTCTGATGAGACTTTCTTCCACCTCAACCCTCCACCCAGAGGTTTCAATAGCAATTGTGGGATTTCTTTTTGTTAAAGCCCTTTTTAGATTCAGTCCAGGGAGTCATAGTAGGTCCAGAACACTTCATGCAAGAGATCATTCCTACTTTTCCCTCTTTATCCTTCCATAAATATAGGTCATTTACAGTATATTGTGTTATTATCTTTTTGCGTTAGTATCATTATTTTTAGAATCTTTTTTTTCTTTCACTTTGGTTATTTGTTTTTTCTGCCATTTCCTTTCTAAAGATTGCACTCTTTTCTTTTTTTTCTTCCTTCTTTCCTTAGAGCACCAGCATTGTGAAAGCTTCCATGAATCAGATAAATGTTAAAATACTATCATGATACAACAAAAGGCAACATGGGAATGCAAAAATGCACATTTAGGGTTCAATGTTCAGGACACTCAGAAACACTGGCAGTGATGAACCTTTGACTCTTACACTACATGACATAAAACTGACTGCCTTGCAAATGTCCTTTTTCCATCACTTACAACACAAACTGTACCTAACTATAATGTTCGGCAGAAGACAGAACAAATTCAATTCAGCTTATTTCAGTTCAGCTCAACTCTTTTCAATTAACCCAGTCCAGTCCAACTCAATTCTCTTTTCTATTTGTTCTGTCTTTCACTCTCACTCACTTACTTTGTCTGCCTGCGCCGTCCAATCTTCGGCCTATTCTCACATTTTCACCTCCCTCTAAGTCTTTCTCTCAGTACACTGCTGTTGCATTGCCCAATATTTCTACAGTCCACAACCACCAAAAAAAAGGGCATTCCACCATTTTAAAAGACAGGAGATGATGACAAAAGAGATTAGGAGGGTTGTCGGGTTCAGAGGAATGGTTTAAAAACGGGAAACTATCCACTGAGGGATTGTCTCATGCCAAAAGTACTCCATTTCAATGATTAGAATTCCCCACATTTCAAATCTATGTCCAAATCACCCCAGTTGGACAAGACAAAGCTGTGTTTAAATGGAACTTTTTTATAGGGAAAAATGCCTTCTCCTTGTTCTTTCATCATTCTTTTGATGGATGTACAATACATCAACCAACAGGGATTAGTGGAGTCATACGTTAGATACACAACCCCATTGTGTTTGGAACGGGTCAAATGATGCAAGTGCAGTCTGGGGAAGAAAGAAAGGAAAAAGGTGGAGGATGTTGTAAGCAAGTGTCCAGACATGCCACTGCTCTTTCTTCTCCCCCCCTTTTTCCTCTCTAGTGTGTTTGCCCTCTGTGCTGGTGGAAGAAGGTCTTTCAGGAGCAGCCGAGTCTGTCTAAGCTCGCTTTAAATGCTGCAGGACTCAAGAAGTACCATGGTTCTCTTTTGGTGTCCATTTGTGCGCACGGAGGCAGGGTTGCAAGGCTGAAGCCACAATGTGTCACACGGTTTCATATTTCAAAAAAACGCATATGTGGAAATGACAGACAAATGAGTCACTCCGTCAACTCATATTGATTCACTGCAGGACAGCGGGACAGAGCGAGTAATTGTCAGTTTCACGCTCACACAAAATAACCGGCAAATGATGGACGGTGATTTACAATGGTGAGGGGGGTGGGGGGACATGCTCAGTTGGGGAGCAGGCATAAAAGCCTGATGGACAAGTGTCGAAAATGGTAACATTTGTGTCCGCACAAAGGAAAGCATAGAACAGCAGAGTGCTCCTCTATCGAAGCCTTTCCCCCATCAGCAAAGACACCCACCAACCACCAGAGGATTAAAGATTAGAACGGGAGCTTGTATTGAGTTTGAAGCCACAGCAGTTTCAAAATGACTGGATGGATGGTTGGATGAAAGATTGATGAGCATGAGGGGGCAGATATAGAACAAATTCAACGGAGAAAGACTGTGGTGGGCAGACACGATTTCAAAGAGAGTAGGAATCTACAAGAAAGGGAAAGAGATGTTGGTGGAGAAGATTTCAACGTGAGCATGAGAGAATTATCCATGAGAGACGACCACAAAGAGGAAAGTTAGTGTAGAAGTGGTAAATAGATAATGGGGGTGAGTGCCGATAGAGTGATGCCTCGAATGTCTTTATGAAGTCATAAAATGCTGCACTTCGTGGCTTCTCTAATTGGGGGGGGGGGGGTCTTGATTCTACTTGCCTACTAAATCTGGTCTCAAAATCCTCTCTGCTTGGACTTCGGGGCTTTCTTTTGGATTGCTATGAGAGGACGGTTTATGTTAGAATATTTTTTTATTGTTCCTTTGCTTAAGATTGAAGTCGAGAAAGAATACATAGAGAGAGAAATTAAAAATAAATGGGAGTGGGAAGTTCTGTACTTTAATGATCCCCTTAGAGTTATCTGGCTGGAAAATAAAGGGGAATAGGGAATAATTGAAAGGGGAATAAGGAGGGCAATCCAAAGACAGAGATTGAAGAGTGAAAATTGCAATGTACTTCTATGCTATTCTGAAGATAACCTCTTGAAAATAGAGCTGAGAAAAAACACAGTTAGAGAGAGAGGGATTTTGTTTTTGACTCAAAACGTTTGCTTACTTGAGGGTTAGAGTTTGAGGCAGAGTAACAGAGTCTTCAGAGGCAGAGACGTGAACAGTACACACTCATTCTAAGCTATTCCCTCCTTACCTGCAGATTTGCTTCAATGGAAAAGCCATTAATATCAATATTTGTTTCAAATGAGACAACATTAATTTAAAAACCGTGACAGACTAATGAAATGTTTTGGAGCATGAATCATAAAAGATAGCAGACAGAAAATGGTCCCTGCCAAAAATGAGAGCCTTTAACTACATCCAGATATTTTACATTAAGGCTAAACAGATGTCTAGAGTTTTGATGGATGTGTCTGTGGCCAGAATAGTAGAATTAAATAGCTCACAGACAAAAGAACAATGTCATCTCTATTTAATATCTAAGGACATAACTTTTCAAACGCTCAAACAGATTAAAATGCGGCATAAATGCCATAAAGTAACTGCTATTGCACGTTTAAATCATTGTATATTGTAATCTTGCAGTTTGCAATCTTTAACGGTCTACTTTCATTGTCGCTGTTTTTCCCTTTACATCCAGTCACCCTATGTGCTGTATATGCAAAATGAATGATAATTTCAGGCATTGTGATTTTTCATTCCAAAATGTAGATTCCAGGGTTCATTTTAATCTTTTGTCAGTGACTTATACTAAGTTCATGAGCCGTGCACCAAACTTTAGCTTATTTTGATGGCGGGAGCACAGGGGTGTATTGTGTCTCCACTTGCCAATCTACAGGAGCTGTATAACAGTTGCCTTTTTTGTGCTGGGTTTTTATCAGTGGGTGAGAGAATGAAAAGGAGTCAAACGCAGCGCCCTAAGCTTTCCATAATGCGTCCCGAGAGGAGACAAAGGCCCGCATTCACTGCTGGGTGTCGATAAGACCTATCATTAGTCTGCCATTGGAGGTATTACCAACACACACAAACACACTTATGTGCACACACATACACAGAGTGCAGTAGGGTACTTATTCCTCTACCCATTCTCTCTTTCCACATAAACGCGTGCATAAATATCCGTGTGCGTGCCAGAAGAGTAGAAGAGGGAGCCAGGCTCGACTTTGAATTGAATAAAGGCAGAAGAGTGGGACCCCCTGCCACTTACTCATCACTGCAGTATTCGCTCAGCCTCCTATGGCCACTGAGCTGTACCTCTTCTGAGTATGCATGTGTGTTCCTCCATATGTGGCTGCAACTTAAAGTAGCTGATGCTACAACAAGCTAGCAATAACGAAAGATTGAAGCTCTGTAACTTATTTTTTTAATTTGTTCATTTGCGATGAAGAACCTTAATGTTAAGCTATTGAAAAACTCCTTTTCCAAGGTTCGTTCTATAGCCATGTTAGATGAATGGTGTTTTTTTTTGCCATGAAATTGCTTTATATGAGTAACCATTATCCAGAGTAATGATTACTTTTACACATGTGTTTTTGTTATATTGTATTTATTTTACTTGCTTGTTTTGTCATGTTTTCTGAAGTAAAGCAGACCACGAGACTGACAAAATCTACAAAATGCAGTTACAAGGTCAAAGGAAGCTGCCGCTGTCTTGATGATAAAACTCCTTGTTTACAGTAAAAATACCAAAGTCTCAGAATGAATGTGGTATTGACTAATTGATGATAAAACGCTACACATAGTACATCAGTTAACAAGACAGGAGTAAAATTAGGTGAAGAGGAGTGTGGTTGGATTTCCTATTAGGGTTGTATTGTGTGTATGTGTGCGTTTACACTCGGGAGGCCGACGGCACTGCCGTCTGGGTCCCAAGTAGATGATGGACCATAGCTCGTATTCTCATTCACTCATTCTCATTAGCTCAGCTCATGGGAATATATGAGGTTACTTAACTTGCCTTGCTATTCCCGGCCAAACGGCAAGTGTTGACACAGGGTCATTAGCCTCACTGCTTGGAACAAATGACCTTCGATACCATCTCCGCTAAAATACAACAGCAGCAGATTAACCCCTCGATCCTCGGTGGATAGCATATTAAAAACACTAGGAAGGAGGTGTAATAACCAATTTGTTTATTTTTAGCCTCATCCATCTTAAAATAGCTCTTTTGTGCTAGTGTTCCTCTGGGTTTTTTTTTGCAGCCCCTTTCTTTTTTTGGGGGGCTTGGGATCTCATTGCACTTCAGCTAAACATCACAGTTGTTTGCCTGAAAACAAAAACCGCAGAAAGAGAAGTGGGCAGAGGATCAAAGCCGTTGGAGGATTTGTCCGTCAGATAGCCGCTGGGGTCCTGCCTGTGTAGACTATCTCTCTATGTCTTCGTGTCTCTCTCTGGACATCAATAGGTTTCCCCCTCACACTGCCAGTTGAAAATTATAGATCGTAAAAAGAGCAGTGCAGTCACAACAACCTCCTCCCTGGAGCAGACGCCGCTTTATTACAATGTGCGGGTGTCACGCATTGACTTTTCCTCTCTTTCATCTAAGCGCCTGGCTTTGTGCAGGTTTGGATATTATCGTTATTTCATCTGACCTGTTTTGATATGGTAAACAACTCATCCCCTTGATTGTATTTTGTTATCACAAGAACTTCTGCAGGACCTTTGAAAGGCTGTGATAAGTCAGGGTACAGGAGGAGATAATCCAACTATAAACAATATAAAATCAGATTGTCTTTGTCAAAAAAAATTACTCACAGTGCTGAATAGGTTTATTTCCATCTTAGGTCAATGTTTTCACCAAAGAGTTATTTCCATAAGGCCTCTGTGAGGTTTGTGGCCTGTTGGTCAGATGTCTGTTTTGGGCAGAAAGACACGCCCAGAGGATGGATATAATTAAGACTAGTGACTTTTTTTTTGTGAGTAAGGAGAGTGTTTGGGTAACTGCTCTGGGTGGTCTAGCTCTACATGCCTGTGCTAGTTTTACGAAAAACAGGCACAATATGGTAAGAACACAGACATATTGTGATTAAGCACAAAGATCAGTGCATATAGTATGTTCAGACATAAAAGGTAAAGAAATGCTAACAGTCATGTCACTTGTTTCCTTGTCTGGTACGCCTGTTGGTTGTTTGGACATGGCGCAGCAGATTTAAATCAACGTCTGACTTGATCAAAGCAGTTGGCAGACACACCTGACATTCATAGAGGTAGACATACACTTACAGATGATTCCTTTACTTCACAAAGAACAGCTGTGTGTCAGTGCCCTCTGCATTTCATCACAGAACCAACTTTAGCAACTTTTAACATCAGGCTATTTATCTGGAAGACTCTACTGATTATCTTCCATTTCAACCCTGGGTGGCCAAGTGGAAGTTGAACTCTTAACTCTTGCAGTGTTTGTGTTGATTTTTGCCCAGGACCACAAGTACACAATTAGCCAAATTGAAAGGGGGTGTTCATCAAGTTCTTGCTGGGTTTATTTGCTTGACCCTACATTCTCTCTAGCAGTCAGTAGAGAAAACCATCACCTGTGCTACTAGAAATGAGGGGTTTGCACCAGTTTTGTACGACTTCAGGCAAACTGCTTTGTCATTCTTCTGATACATACTGAATAACGCTAATGCTAACCACGGAATGAATGTTAAAGCACAGTTTGTCTTATAAAAAAAAAAAATGCATCTAACTTGCTCACACTCTTCTTTTCTGACACATTTTCCAAGACTACCGTTACGTTGTGGAAGATGAACAAAAACTGCAAGGCCAGTCAACCCCGCAACAAACACTATCTCGATTAATGGCGTCTTCTCGTTAACACATAAACACCGTGTGTAGGCCTACCGTCGAACCCGTCCATTAATTTGCAACATCCTTCTTTCCATTCCTGTGAATTGGCTCATTTAGCCGGCAGAGAGAACAAAGATCTTTTATTGTTGCATTTTGTTTTGAGGGCTGCCTAAACATGTGGGTGGTCCCGGGTTTTTTTTTTTTCTTCAATGTACTGAGAAGCACATGGATCTGTTAATGAGTATAAATTGGTGACTCCGTTATGACTGAGGTGCCCTCCCTGGTTTCAGCAAGTCTGCTTACTGGAGTAGAGAAAAGGAGGGATGGGAGAGGGAGAGGGCGAAAACAACGAGGGAGAAATGGAGAGGTGGGAGAGATATGATGCAGGAGATGGTTAAAAATAAACAGTGATTGTAGGAAGAAACATACCATAGAAAAGAGCAGTAGCTGAAGGATACATTTCCTTGGCAAGACATGAGTAGTAAATTGCATGTATATTGTGGCAGATGCAGGCAATTGAACGGAGTGGAACTTTAGAAAAAGATGCGAGGGGGGAAGTTCTCAGGCGGCATAAAAGGCTTAATTTCTCCCTCAGCTGTGGCAAGCAGCTTTCCTGTGCGGCCCTGTTTCACTATATTTAACATCAAAGTGAAGTATGAACAATTGAGGCAATTTTCCATCTGGCCAAGGTCAATCATTGTTCTTTCTCTGTGAATGTAGATCCGGCTAAGAAGAATTCAGAGGAACCATATCTCACTTTCAAGTGTATGTTAGCAAGCAACTTTTTGGACAGACTTTTCATCTTTTTGTCTGTGCTTTCATTTACAACTTTTCAAACTGTACATTTAATATTCTCGGAATTTTCAGGTCCATTTATTACAGCTATGGTGTTATTTTTCAAGCATGTGGTTTTGTTACAGCTGTGTCTAGACTGCATTAAATAATACATGGGACTCACTGCATGTAATATGAAGCATACTGTATTACTACTACAATGTCAAGGTTGAAGTTGGCCTCGGACTCTTTCCAGAAATGTGTCGTTTGGGATCATGGGCGTGGTCCTGGATCACATCTAAGCTTCAAATCTCCACTGTTTACAATGTTTACGCAAACCAAAAATGGAACTGGTTAGGACCTACATAGCATGCTTAAAAAACAGCAAATTTAGATTACTAGTTCATGCCACATCTAATTATGACCTTTCACTAGAGTTTTTTGCCAAGGACCAAATGCTTGAAGCAAAGAAGTTAAAAGGACTCTGATAGACTTCTTAAAACCACAAACAGCAGGGTGCTCAAAGAAATCATTAACGGCCAAAGTAGCTAAAAACACGATCAATATGTCTTGATGCACCAGGTTTTCTTTTGTACTCTAAATGATGTTAACTGTAAATTAATACCATGAACAGATTATACCACCATTCACTTCAGAGTTTAATACAGCAAAAAAAAAAAAACACCAATTTTAATATGTAGACTTTAACACACAAAAGAAAGAATTGACCAAGAGAATAATGGTTGCTGCCTGAAATTGACTTTTCTCTCCCCTTTCTTGTTGTATCACTCGGGTAGAGAAGAATAGCATCAGAAAGACTTTAAACACATCGACACTGTTATATCCTTTTTTACACTGATGCCCTTATAATACTCTGCGCTTGACGTCCACTTGAAAATAAGTTAAATGCATTTGTTAGTTTTCTAATTTTCTAGTTTATACACTAAATATCTTTTTAAACCACAGCAAATCATGTATAGGTTTAGTTGAATAGCATCTAGTCAACTTAAGATGTTATTCTCATTCTGTCTCAGCCTCAACGTGCGGTGGGCATGTCAGACACCAGTTCTATATAATACATTACAGTCAGTGCTGTCATTATCTGAGGAATTCCTTATTGTGTTAAGGGAACCACATAAAAGCACATTAGTGACATCTTAGCTTTATTAGAAGAGACATAACAGCCATCGATCGCAACACACTATCACTTGGAATTTGTATCTACGTCTGATTTTACAAAGTGCCTTCAAAGGCTGATTTCATATTTTTGTGTTAGCAGGGCTCTTGCTGTTGAGGCGTCACGGTATTTTTTCTTCAAACCACCTTAACTACTTCCAAACTTTTTTGTTTGTTTTTTAAGAGGAATCGTGTGTTAATGTACACACACACGGCGGCTGCTTGTCATTGTTTCTCAAGACCACCCAGAATCCAAATAGGAATTGGGTCGCGTGTGAGTAAGTTTGTTGTACATACGACATGAAAGTGCAGACTTATTACAACTAATACTGCTGTACACATCAGTCAGTGCTGTTAAATAATGTCAGTGCACATCACCGTGTGACATGCGTGTTTAATGTAATAACATGGTTTACCAAACAACACCTGAATTTATCCTGTGCTTTCTTCTCCTCTGTTTGTATTCTGTCCAGGTCCAGACATGAAAGACGCATGCATTCACAGACACGCATTCAAAGGCACCTAGAGTCTGTCTGCGATCTACCACCTCCCTGCCACACACACACACACACGCCTGTTACGGTAAGAATCAGAGACCACCGAGTTAGGGGGATAATAATGGTGTGAATGTGAGGAAACAAGCTCATTATCCACTGCTATTTCGTCCTCTGAGTAATTTCAAAGACAAATTGACTACTTGTATTCCAAAATGCTCTAATTTCGCTAATTAAAAGAAATTGAGTTGAAACTGAATTCAGTAATTTAACCTCTAAAAATGAGTTTGCTAGCGTGTGCTAATAAATAGTCTATGAAAAGAATGTCTACTATCAAATTTGAATTGCTCATTTTCGAAAAAAACGTTTATTTATGCAAAGTAATTTTCATTAAAATTGTATGCTGTCATGCATGCCATTTTGTGTGTGTCTGTGTGTGTGCATGCACAAAGACTGCTTCATTTTTCTATTTCCATAAGTCAAAACCAATCTCCACGGGTCATGTTTAACAGCCGCACCACATATACCACAAACCCCCTTATGCAACCCCCCTTTACCCACCCTGTGCCCCTCCCAGGCTTCCCAGCATCCTGCTTCGCCCTCTATCCAAAAAACAACAACATGCGTGCTGAAATTACAGTGCGTGAGGCGGCACTTCCCTTCCTTTAACTCGCTGTATTTGCCCTTCTGTTCTTATCTTTTTCTCATTCCGCTACTGTTTTGAAAGGGTTCAAGGTTTATTTTGATGTTCATTAAACTGTCTAACAGCTGCCCATACTTCATTTGCATCTGTAGTTACAGTGACTAAAGTTCACACTGAGGTTAACAAGGTATTAATGCAGTTCTTGGACTGTTTTTTTGGCTTTCCTAAATTACATTTAGGATGATAGTTTGTCCCAGTGAACCTTTACGTATGTGAACTGTTTTGAACACAATAGCTAATAAGTAAAGAACAAACATGTTTAATTTGCATTGATCCTTCCAGTATGTATCCAGATTATCATATTGATTTATGCAAAAAAAAGGGGGTCTTGTGGCCTAAATTTCCTTTTCTCCCAAGGTCACAATTGGTTGTTTTAATACATACAAGAATACTTGACTAGACATCGTGAGTAATGGCCAGAAAAGACAGAGAAAAAGATGGAGTGCCACCAACAAAGGCTCAAACATTAAATCCATCAATGTTTATTTGTGATAAAACTGACCTTGAAAAGTATACAGCATAAAAACATTACAGCATAGCAGTTTGATCTTTGAAACATAATTAAATCCATAAATGAAAGAACAAATTCTCGGATCGCTGCGTGTATGAAAGCTAGCAGAAAGCAGCCCCATCCTCATAGTTTCTAGCTTCAGGTTAACTGACGCTCTCACAGCAACCACGGTACTCACCAGCTGTAATGACACACTCCATCAATTCGGCTTTGCCTGCGCAAGGCTAGCTTGGTTAACAGTCGGCCGAGGTGCAGCATGAGAGTGTGTGTGTGTGTGTGTGTGTGTGTGTGTGTGTGTGTGTGTGTGTG